TCCCCTTTTAGAAAAAAGGAAAAAAAAAAGTTTTACAAAAAAAAAAAAAAAAAAAAACTACATACTTCTTAAACAACACTGTTAAGCCCATATATTTTGATTTATTAACCTTTTTAATAGACGTTATTTGAAGCTAATTTTTCTGGGAAAGGAATCTTAATGTTTTCGGTCACACTTTATTTTAAGGTCCAATTTTCGCCATTAACAAACTATGGATTTTGACTCAATAAACTCCTAATTTGCTGCTTATTAATAGTTGTTAAATTTAGGTATTGTGTAGAATTAAGGATGCAGATTATGGCCATGCAGAATATGTGCTTTAAAAGTACTAACAAACAGCCAATATGTTAATAATAAGCATGCTAATAAGCAACTAGAAAATTGGTCCCTATACTAAAATGTTACCATGTTTTCTTTACCAGTCTAGAGTGGTGTGAGTTGCTCAACACTTAAAAAGCATCATCATGAAAGGCTTACAGCTTTGACTTCAGATCAAACAATGGTCTGACTGTATAGGGGCGGCGAAAGGTTCAGAGACAAATCTATCAGTGGCATGTCCCTCTCAGGGCCGATTAGAGGCTTTCTGCAGTTCTGTGTGGCTCATATAATGTTAAAAGTCTGTGAAATTGAGGAACACACACTAGACCGCTTGCTGCCCCAGGGAGCTCACAGAGACGCATTGGCTGCTGCGGCCACCGCATCAACTATTGCACAGCTTTCAGTAGCCCCTAAGAGAGCTCTGTGTGAGGGCAATCAACAGCTATCTCAGCTTGACCGCTGTGCTGGTATTCAAGAGAAATGTGATTGCAGCCGTGAGAGGGGAAGACAGGAAACAACCTAGATGAAAGCAATTTGCATTTCAAAAAGCCATGTGTCTGGGACCTGATGTAAAGCAAAAGAAACTATCATCTTGTCACAGTTGCTTTTATTCAACTACTCTCCATCTTGCCACTTCTAGTCTTGCGTGATATCCCCCCAACAGTGTGACATGCAGCACTGAAAAATTCCTAACATCAAACACATCGTACCTTTTGGATCGTCTCCAGCATGGACCAGCCTCCGTTCCAGGGCTTGGTTGACTTCCTGATGCAGTTGAGGCTGGCCATACTGTGCCACTTCCGATCTTCTAATTTCCGATAGAATGCATTGGCCAGCATCAACACGCTGTCATAAAGGTACAAATTGGACACCTGAAATCAAAAGGAAAAGAAAATAGTGATGCATTAAAATTATTTTTACAAAAAAAACAAAATTATGTTTTCATTTAGCTGAAACTATATGAAATAAAATAAAGTGGTAACACTTTATTTTAGGGTCTCTTAACTAGTTGCTTATTAGCATGCATATTACTAGAATATTAGCCATTTATTAGTACTAATTAAGCACATATTAATGCCTTATTCTACATGACCTTATTCTACATTCCTAATCCTACCCAATACCTAAACTTAACAACTACCTTACTAACTATTAATAAGCAGCAAATTAGGAATTTATTGAGGGAAAAGTCATAGTTAATAGTGAATAAGTGATCCCTATTCGAAAGTGTTACCAATAAAGTATTTAATAATTATTTAATCACAATTTTTAATAATCAACACAAATAAAAGTGCATTTGCATTGCACATGTCTTTATATCAACTCTTTATTGATATAATTATGTTATTAATGAGGTAAATGTTACATTACATGGTATATTGTTTACAAACTGATTTATTGACATCTTTCCACGCTTCAAACTAATTATAAGTGATTACAGACATAATACATTTCAGTAAGTTGTATTGTTTCCTTCACCATACCCTCTGTTCTGATGCTCATTCATACATATATATGAAACCTAAAAGACTTACAGTTCCCTTACGCAAGTTCACTAGGCGATCAGTATCTGAAACTATGGGTGCGATGAGGGTCTGAAGCACGTGTACAGCCACTAGCAAAAGCTTAGTGTCATGACCAGAGTCGACTAAGCAAGACAGGTCCTGATGCTTTGGTGCTTAGGAACATGAGGGCAGGCTCCCACAAAGAAAACTGTGGGATTCTCAGAGATGCTCACACATATTTCCTTGATGTCCTCAAGGGGCTGTTTAGCTAAACCCGCAACAGGTGTTTCAGGGAGGCATCAGTTCCTACCTGATGTTTTACTGCTACTGCATGCAAAAAGGCTTTCAGAGTGCAGTACCTGTCCCTTTGTCCGAGGGTGTTAGGACACAAGAGGTTGTTATAGAAGCTGCCCCCCATAGAATGGCTGGGCACCTACTATATAACAGTTACCTTGCTTCCAGTGTTCAGCCTCTCCCTGCTGTTGAGACATTTCAGTGTGCCGAAAGGAGAATTTTAAACCCCTATTAATTTAACACCCATTTTCCAACCATTTGGCTATGTAGCGGCTTCTGTCAAATGTGTCACCCTGGGATCTTCGGACCGTGGACAAAGGATACAGGAACCAATTTTAGGGGTGTCCACCGGTCTCTCATTTTATGCTTGGGGCTGGCATTGGATGAATTTCTGACCCTTAAGGTGGTTCTTTTGTTAAACTTAATGGGTCTTATAGGCCAGATTACTTACCAAAACTATTATTATTATTATTATTACTAATTTATATATTTTTAATTTGATTATTTTTTATATTATTTTTATTAAAAAAACACTTTTTATATATATATTTTTTTTTTTTCCAAGAAATGACCTTCAAAATGTAATTCAAGTTATGAGCTGTACGCTTCAACGATGCATACTCACTCCAGCACACTTTCTGCTGAATGTGCATCAAGAAGTGTCATCTGTCCATGACCCACCGGATTCAAATCAAACTTTCATGGCCATTTCTCATCCAAGTATTACATTTGCTGAGTGTTACAACCTGCTAGGTGTCAGTTATCATCCCAGCTGATGTATAAAACATAGTACCTGTCCCTACTGTACAGACAACCGCTTCCTGATCATTGAATGACAGGCATGCTAGTTGAGCTGACAGGTCCATACAGGAAGACATTTGTCACACTTTGCTGGAACTGACCATCAGCTAAGGCACGTTGGAGGCATTAGCAAAAGCTGTGTGGACGACTCCAGTGATTGCTTGTTTCTTGAGTGACAGGGAAAGGCACACAAAGGGGGATGCTTGTATTGACAGTGCAGATTTGCAGACGGAAAGCTGACAGGTTTGTTACTGCTGTGAACTAGTGGTTTGCTTGTCAAGGTGATTAAACATCAAAGAACATTTAACCCTAATTTTCATGAATAATTGAGGTGTAAGCCCCCAGAGTACGTGCAGTGCAAAGCTCAGCCATCTGTTCCGTACTATAAAACTAGTGTTCATGTGGGTTCAAGGGGTTCAAGCAGATATGTGGACGTCACAGCAGAGGAGGAAAACACTTGGACACAATAACTGGGTTTGTGGTTAATTGTATAATAAAAGGGTATTGCAAATGAAAATGAAATCTATGTTTCAGTTGTTACACACACACACACACACACACACACACATAATATTTAGTAAAATCTTTCAGTCCCAAGCTACACCCATGGTAATACCTGCTGAAATACCAGCTTTGCCATTACAGAAATAATTTCACAATTTTGCAATTTTTACTGTAATTTTATTGAATAAATGCAGCCTTGGTTATCATAAGAGACTTCTTTCAAAATTAATTAAATAAATAACAGCATCTCAGAGAATGCATAAAAACAAACTATTGTGAAAAAAAAAAAAAAACACTTTTAACTAAAATTAAAACGAGGAAACCCTGCATAAGGGCACGTTAAAAATGAATAAATTGGCAATAAAAGGTAAACAAACACTGTTTTAGCAAAGAGTCTGTGTCCCCATGTCTTTAAAGTTTGAAAATCCCTGATCTTAACTTTGCTTGTTTTAAGAGGTTTGTTTGAGACTGCATATGGATTTGATCTCCTATAATGCATCAGCAACCTGATGATGATGTTGTTTCTATGGTTACTGACCTCCAGCGACTGCAGATAGCCCTCCTGAGGGTCGCAGAGCAGTGAGGAGATACGGTGGTTGTTATTGCAAATGAAAATGAAATCTATGTTTCAGTTGTTACACACACACACACACACGCACACGCACACACACACACACACACATAATATTTAGTAAAATCTTTCAGTCCCAAGCTACACCCATGGTAATACCTGCTGAAATACCAGCTTTGCCATTACAGAAATAATTTCACAATTTTGCAATTTTTACTGTAATTTTATTGAATAAATGCAGCCTTGGTTATCATAAGAGACTTCTTTCAAAATTAATTAAATAAATAACAGCATCTCAGAGAATGCATAAAAACAAACTATTGTGAAAAAAAAAAAAAAAAAAAACACTTTTAACTAAAATTAAAACGAGGATATATATATATATATACCCTGCATAAGGGAACGTTAAAAATGAATAAATTGGCAATAAAAGGTAAACAAACACTGTTTTAGCAAAGAGTCTGTGTCCCCATGTCTTTAAAGTTTGAAAATCCCTGATCTTAACTTTGCTTGTTTTAAGAGGTTTGTTTGAGACTGCATATGAATTTGATCTCCTATAATGCATCAGCAACCTGATGATGATGTTGTTTCTATGGTTACTGACCTCCAGCGACTGCAGATAGCCCTCCTGAGGGTCGCAGAGCAGTGAGGAGATACGGTGGTTGTTCCTCATACAGCTCACACTGCTATCCTTCCAAAGAGGGAAAATCTGCCTGACGACGGTCATCCTTCCCAAGGAACTGTGGGCCAGCTCCATAATCTCAGTATCACTGATCTCCTAAACTCACACAGAAACAAAATACAAAGAAATTATGCTTCTTTATGAAACAGGCCGAATCACAGTCATGCTGATATCACATGGCTACTGTGTGATATTGCTCATTTATCTATTGTATATTACATTGATAAATAATCTATATTGTTTGAAATAAAAAAAGTATATCTTTAGAATAGGGAACACATATTGACTATTAACTAAGAGTGTTCCCTTAATAAACTCCTACAGTAAGTTAAGTTTAGATATGGGATCTAGAACATGGTCATGCAGAATAAGGCATTAAATATGCTAATAAACAGCTGATATGCTACTAACATGCATGCTAATAAACTAGTTAATACTGAGAATCGGACTTGCTACCACTAAAAATAATGTTCTACCATGAAAAAAAGATATGTCATGAATCACTTTTTTAAACAATAAGATAATATATTTTTTTCCCTGAAATGTTGTGTTTCAGATCTAATATAAATAAATAAACAAAGTAGGGTTTAATTGGGTTTAAACTGTCTAGGGAGCTGTCTACTAGTATTTTAAGGGATCATACTTCTGGATAAGATATGTCATTTTAGACAAATTCAAAGGCAACATTGCATTTAGCCTTCACGAGTCAAGAAATTATGATTTTAAATATTAACATTTCTTTCTTTAAAAATGAAGGGGGAAAAAATCATCATAATTAAATTAAATCTTGCCAAATATTTGATTGTGCTATAGGCTATATGGTTTGCCTGTATTATGCTGTTAGCTTAGCAGAATGCTAACATCAAACTCAGTTAAAAAACTAACTGTAGATCAAGACTCATGTGCTTCACATGAGAAGTGCTGTTTGTCTGGTGCACACCAATATAGAAGGTTTCATATCAGTCACTTATAAAGGTCCATTCCTTTTAGGATGCTGCCTGTGGATGACTGTGGTGACAGGGGAGGGGACATGTTCGGTTCACTTAGTTTTGTCGTGGCCACGACATATTAACTCATGGTAACATGATAATATATCATGGCCACAATATATTAATTTGTGGAAACGTCATATTGACATGATAATGGGAACGTGATAATACTGTATGTCATGGGCACGAGATAATTTTGTAGTGGAAACAACATCCTTATGTAGTCGCCACACGTAGTGAAGTCATGGCCTCGAGATGCTATGTTGAGGGAACAACATAATTTTCTCGTGGCCACGAGGTTAATGCGTAAAACCTGCGTGACCATAGCAACCCGATATTATCAGAGATGGATTTATTAATATTTTATTTTGAATTAAGAAATGATTATATTAATTATTATTGAAATTATTACATTATTCAACTATTATATTAAACATAGGCCTTGGCTGTATTGAGCGCGATGTAGACAGCATTCGAACAAGGTTTAACATGAATAAATGTTAAAGTACATAAAATAAAATAGGCCTTCAAGAAAACATTTTTTATCCATCCCACACTCTTGTAAGTCTTTTTCCAGTAATATTTGTATTTTATTATTATTATTATTATTAGCTTATATTATTGATTATATTTTAATATGTTTTTTTCCTCTTTATTTTGATCTCTTTACTTAACATCATGAATTGTTCTGTAAATAATAGCCTACTGTAAATGCTTGACATGCTAATAAAGCTTTGATTATGCTGACCGGAATTTTTTTACTGGAATACAGTTTAAAGGTTGAATTATATATATATATGTTTAATTTTATTTCGGCTAATTATTAGACTATAATTATAAATACTATAGTGTTTTGTTGAGGAATGACTCATTCACGTAGTTTCATTTGTAAATGAAAACACAACATGCTCATTTATCACCACACATGGGCATAAATACAATCATAAAGTCAAAACTTTATTGGCATAATTGCCAGGTGTTTAGTATTTGCAAAATATATCGTAGCAAATACTAGCATAATTATACAGAACATTAATTAGGTAAAGTGATAAACAAATTGAAAGGGGAAATAAGCATATATAACAACACAATATAAAAATATAGCCCTAACAAGTTAATATAATAATAATACTAACAATAATAATAATAATAATAATAATAATAATATTAAATTAAATGTTCAATGTTAATAAAAAATATTTTATACATTTCTAATAATCCTGGGTTTTATGGCCACACAGGTTTGTTTACGCATTAAACTTGTTTCCTCAAAATAAAAGAGAAACGAATTAACATCGCATGGCTACGACATAAGGATGAACCGAAGTGAACCGAACATGTCCCCTCCTGGTCACCATAGATGACATATATCAATATCAACAGCTCAATATGTTTTTGAAAGTCATAAGTTTATATATATATATATATATATATATATATGTGGTGCCCTGGACTGGCCACTTGAGGGCGCTCTCCTGTTTTTGTGTTATATGTTGTGAACACCATTTCCCACAGTCCCTTGTCTGTCATTCTGCCTGATCATTAGCACCTGTTTATTATTTCCGATCATTATCACCTGTTAGACATTTACTCATTATCCCAGCTATACAGTGGTGTGAAAAAGTGTTCGCCCCCTTCCTAATTTCTTTTTTTTTTTGCATGTTTGTCACACTTTAATGTTTCAGATCATCAAACACATTTATATATTAGTAAAAGATAACACAAGTGAACACAACATGCAGTTTTTAAATGAAGGTTTTTATTATTAAGGGAAAACAAAATCCAAAACTACATGGATTTACCTGTGTAAAGTGTTTGCCCCCCAAACCTAATATCTGGTTGGGCCACCCTTAGCAGCAACAACTGCAATCAAGCGTTTGCAATAACATGCAATGAGTCTGTTACAGCGCTGTGGAGGAATTTTGGTCCACTCATCTATGCAGAATTGTTGTAATTCAGCCACATTGAAGGGTTTTCGAGCATGAACCGCCTTTTTAAGGTCATGCCACAGCATCTCAATAGGATTCAGGTCAGGACTTTGACTAGGCCACTCCAAAGTCTTCATTTTGTTTTTCTTCAGCCATTCAGAGGTGGACTTGCTGGTGTGTTTTGGATCATTGTCCTGCTGCAGAACCCAAGTTCGCTTCAGCTTGAGGTCACGAACAGATGGCCGGACATTTTCCTTCAGGATTTTTTGGTAAACAGCAGAATTCATGGTTCCATTTATCACAGCAAGTCTTCCAGGTCCTGAAGCAGCAACCCAGACCATCACACTACCACCACCATATTTTACTGTTGGTAAGATGTTCTTATTCTGAAATGTAGCGTTACTTTTACGCCAGACGTAATGGGACACACACCTTCCAAAAAGTTCAACTTTTGTCTCGTCAGTCCACAGAGTATTTTCCCAAAAGTCTTAGGGATCATCAAGATGTTTTCTGGCAAAACTGAGACGAGCCTTTATGTTCTTTTTGCTCAGCAGTGGTTTTCATCTTGGAACTCTGCCATGCAGAACATTTTTGCCCAGTCTCTTTCTTATGTCATGAGCACTGACCTTAACTGAGGCAAGTGAGGCCTGCAGTTCTTTGGATGTTGTTGTGGGGTCTTTTGTGACCTCTTGGATGAGTCATTGCTGTGCTCTTGGGTTAATTTTGGT